TGTACTTACTTTGAAAGAATTAATGATTCTTTAATCTAAAGGTTGTAAATATGAAGTTGTATTATGTGATAAATAATAAATCTTAATATTACTGAAAGAAGGCAATTCATCTTGTTTACCATGTATTGATGCATTATCAACCAACAATAAAATTTTTTTACTGCGCATACACATTAATCCATTTAATTTCTTTAGATAATCAAGCCAAATTAATTGTTGCATCTATGTAGTTTTGTTCTAATAATATTGAACAGAATCTTCAATAGATATACTACATAATAGGTGAGGGTTTTTGTATTTATGAATGAATAATGGTTAAGCTTATTTTTATCTGTAACATTATATGTTAATAAAATAATTACTCTATTTTTGGATTTTTTAGTTCCAGTTACAGGTTCTTGTGCAAGAGTTTTAGATGGTTAATTATCAAAATAGTGCTAAAAAAAATAAATAATAAATAAATCAAAACATTTAAAAATCAAGTAATAATATTATATATTTAATTGAAAATACCTGTTTCATCACAATTATAAATATCTTCTAATGCATATTCAGATAATTTTTCACTAATTTTTTGTCTATATTCATCAATTTCTTTTAATGAAGATCCACTAGCAGCTTCACTGATTTAATGTATAAGTGGATATTATTTCTTCTTTTAAAATTTGTTAGCTAGCCCGCAGAAGCAGTAAATCCAGTAATGCCAAATTTAACTGCAAATTGCTTAGCTTTATTTTATATGACATCACCTCTTAATGTTTGATTTGCAGCTAAAAATTGAGATATCTAAATTCCAACAGCATCATCTATTTCTTTATATATGGGTTACTTTAACCTTTTCCTTTCTAGTTCTAAGCTAGAAGCAGATAAATATTCAGATTTTCTTTTTAAAATATCACTAACTGTATTGGATTTTATATTATAATAAATAGTAAATTCAATATTTAAAGTATTCGGATTATCAATTTTCTTTTGACAAAGTTTTTGCTTTTAAGATACAAATAGAGTAACATGCTTGTTTTTATTATTTGTATACATACTAATGATATAAAAGAGTTATCGAAGAGAATGAGTTATCAATAAAAAATATATTTTATAGTTAACATTTATTATTTTGCTATATTTAGTGAAGATCGATAAAATCAGCATATAAAATAAAAAAAATTTTTTATAACAATGATTAATATATTGAAAAAAATCAGTATCAGCTTATCACGAATAAATACATATAGCTGGTTTATGATCTAATATCAGTATATGTAATATCGTAAAATTTATAAGAAAATTAGTAAATAGTAGTAAGATTAATTATATATGATTTTGGTTTGAGAAAAAAGATCAGTATAAGTTAAAATCAGTTTATCCTGAATCGTTATATTGAGTTCTGATTGTTGTAAAAATTTAGATAATAATATCTTTTAAATTATAGATTAATTATTAAATTAGTATTTATTTTAAGTTAATGTATATTATATAAAATTTATAATAATTACTAAAAGAAATGTAAGTAGTTATTTTTTAGGTTTAAAAGCCTATAACTTATTAATTATAAATGCTAGAGTTATAATTTTATATATTTTTTAATCCTTAAATTTTAAATATTATTTTATATTAAAATTTTTTTTAATTAAAAATATCAATATTGTATAAATTAAATTAAATTAATAGAAGATACACTCATTTATTTATTTATTTATTAGATTATTTATTTATTTGTTTATTTGTATTTTATTTGTTTATTTATTCATTTATTTATTAGATTATTTATTTATTTATTTATTCATCTGTTCTTTATTTATTTATTTATTTATTCATTAGTTTATTTATTTATTTATTTATTTATATTTTATTTATTCATTAATTAGATTATTTATTTATTCATTTATTTTATGTTTGCATTTATTTATTTATTATTCATTCATTTATGCTTTTATTTCTATAACGATAGTCTACTAGTTTTAAAGAAATTATTATTCTTTATAATAAATATAGAACTTACAATAAGAGTTATTTGTTTATTTATTTATTATTTATTTATTATTAGTTTATTATATTTATTTATTTATTTTCATTTATTTATTTATTTATTTTCATTTTAAATAAAGTTTAGATTATTTACTATAATAGTAAAAGATTTGTATTTATTAGTATTATAAATAATAAGCATTTAGTTAATGTAATAAGGAAAAAGTTAATATAATTTGTATCTATTATTTTATAAGAAAAATAATTTTACATTCTAAAAAGATCAAGTAATAAGTGAGTATAAGTGATTTTTAATTAAATCATTATTTTTCAATTACCTCTTTTTAATTCTTAATTAAATATATAATCTTATATATGTATACTTTTTGAAATTTAAATATTTTTAAAACAAGTACAATATTAATTTTTGACAAATCTATAATATAATAGAAAAGATTAATTCAAAAGATCAGCTAACGTAATGTGATATATATGATCAGAAATTACATTGATTGCATTATATTAGATAATAAAAATGATGAAGATAAAAAATAAATTAATAAAGATTACGCTTAAATCTAGAAGACATTAAAAATTTCTTTTATATTATTAATTAATTTATATTATTAATTATTTTATATTTGTAATCAATTATTATTATATTAGTAAATTTAATATAATAGGATAACTTTAAAATTTAATTAGAAACAGACAATATCACAGATAATTTCTAAATAATATTGAAGATTTTAAATAGGTTAAAGAATTCAATTAGTTTATCACAAATAAAATAATACTAATAACTCTTATATGTTAACAAATATAATTATATAAATTCTTTATTAATTAATAAAATCCTAATCACTGATTCTAAATATATACTGTTGTTTGAAATAATATATATTTATAAACTCTTTAAAACTCTTTAAATTATTGATTAAAGTTAATACTTTACTAATCTTGTATAAATACTAATTTTTAATTATTAATATATTAAGATAATAATAATATATAGAGGGTAAACAAAAGTATTTGCACACTTTTTCACTCAATATAAAACTTATAATTTTTTTGCATTAACAATAAATGGTCAATTAATATTTTATTTAAAGCCGATTAAGATCTACATTTTATATTAAGTAACTGATACTTAATTATACTACTATTTACTGTAATCACAGTTTGAATTTATTACAACATACTATTGACTAGGTTTTGATAGTATACTTCAAATTTTTTACCAAACCTTTTTAACATATCAGTCAAATTAGATAGAGGTTTTTTATAAGCTCAGATGCTTTTCTTGACTTTAGCCTAAAGATTCTCAATTAGATTAAGATTGAGACTTTGAGTTGGCTATGATAATATATGAAGATTGTTTTTCACTTAAAAATCATTGCAGTTAATTCTTTAGTTTTTACCATTTTTTTTAGATTTTCAGAAAAGAAAATTTTATTAAAAAAAAATAAATTGTTATTCTTTTTATTTTTATAATATAAATAAACACTTAAGTGTCATGTAAATGTAATTTATTATTGTGATTATATGATTTTACTAGCATTAATTCACGTTATAAAGGGTATGCAAATACTTTTGTTATTCTCTGTAAATTTAATATTTTCTCAATCAAAAAAGTATTAACAATACTAATACTACAAAAGTAATTTTAAAATATTCATGATTTTTATTTTTATTCATATAATACTCATTTTATTCTAGAATTCAATATATCAAGCTATATCTGATTATATCTGTTAACTTGACTGCTCTTCTTTTAAATGTCTTATAAGTCAAATTTTAGTATTTCTCTTAGATCAAAGTTTGATTTTTAATGAAGATTTCAAAATTATATCTTTAGGATATAATTTATACAATCAATATAAATGAATTTGTATTTATCTTGATTAAATATAATTGAATCATCAATGTTAAATATTATATATTGATATTTTTTTTATTGCAAAAACTTATTTACTTAAAGCAAATATTTCAGAAATTGAAAAGATCTCAGATTTAGATATTTTTGTTAGAAATAATAATGATCAAATAACCAATGAAGGTAACTCAAACCTTCTAGAAGAAAATTTTAATAAGATAATTCAATTTTTGCTACATGTATACAAAATTTAAGTAGATTTTTCATTAAAGTAAATTGTTAAATAATTATTTCACAAGATTTATGAATACCTAAAATTGATATATTGTCTCTTAAATAGGATTGATATTTCTAGAATATCAAATGTTATTATTAGAAACAGCTTAATTAAACAAATTGATTAAAAGATGACATTTAATATGGGAGGGTTTCTAGGAAAATCAGGTTCTGAGAAATTTTTGACTTAAATTAAGAGCTTAATACATTTTAATATAATAACATCAAAAACTAAAATGCAATAAAAATCTCAATTTTGTTAAAAAATTCCCGGAACCTGGTTTTCCTAGCAATCAACCCATATATTATATCTCTTTTGCATATACATGTAATACAAATTTTAGTAAATTGTATAGTATAATGTTATAATTGTTTTACGAAAATGATTATATTGATCTGAATAAAAAAATGGATATTTTTTTGCTTTCTATATAATTCAGATATTTGATTAAATTATAGGATACATCATTTTTTTATCACAGAAACAGAGTATACTGATATCAAATCATCCCAGAATATACTTAATAAAAGCTAAAAGTGGAACAGATGACAAATAATTTACATTAATCACGTGATCAACGCATTCCCCAAATTTGTCTGACGGTAGCAGGTGACACAATTCACAAAATCTAATTTGATCGTCATTTGGCATATCACAATTATATAAAATTTTAAAAAATTTCGAATTTCATAAATTTTGAACTTCCTCCGAATTATAAAAATGTTTTATTATACTCAGACTTTTTATATTCTGTCTAGTTTATGTGCCTTATTGACACTTTTGCTTCGAGAAAAAAAATCTAGCAATGTCTCATCTGACCACGGACAAATAAAAGATTATAAACAATTTCGCTTAAATTATTTAATTGTTTACTTATTAGTAATGAGTATGTAATTATTTTATCGCACACGGAGATGATTTTAAGAATTATAATTTATACAATTTTTAGTCAGATCAGTTACTAAAAAATTTTTTTTATTTATCAAGTCGGTGATTGGCTTCAAGGGCCATACGTTTATGCGATATATAAAAGTCATGGATTTGATTTGAATCAGCAGGCAATTTTGTTCGTTACTGGATTCCTATCAAGTGGTATTTTTGGAACTATTGTTGGATCTGCTGCGGATAAATAGTAAGTTTCATATCTTAACTTTTAATTATGTTATTATTGATGACTAAAAATCTTTTAAATGTTTCTTAGTGGAAGAAAAAAATTTTGTTTGCTTTTTGCATTACTTTATTCTGCGTCTTGTTTTATTGTATTGTCAAAAGATTTTTATATATTATTAATGGGAAGGTTAGTTGATACCTTCAATTGTTAAATAAATATATATATATATATAAATTACCTATTTGAATTACGTTTTACTTTCTATTTAGGATTTTGTCCGGTATAAGTACATCTCTCTTGTTTTCGGTCTTTGAAAGTTGGATGGTTAGCGAGCATTTTTCTAGAGGTAGATACCATTTATCCAATGCATTCAAATGCTAAATTTTTTTTAACATTCCGATCTATTTTTTAGGATTTCCTCCTTCACTGTTATCTGAAACTTTTTCGCAGGCAATTTATGGAAATGGGCTAGTTGCTATCTTTAGTGGACTATTAGCAAATTGGTTAGTCAAGCAATTTGGGGTCACGACACCTTTTTTAGCGGCGATTGGTTTCTTTGCATTAGCATCATTGATAATTACTTTTACTTGGAAAGAAAATTATGGAGGTAAATCCGATAAGGTAACGAATTCTTAGATTCTTTTGACAATTCATACTTTCAAAATATCTAAATATATACTAAAGATGAACCTTTTATTTATTTTAGGATGATGCGACAGAAGCTTCATCTTTGTCTCGAGCTTTGAAAGTTATAAGCAACGGTAATTTTCATTGTTTGATATTTATACGCCTTATAAAACCATTTAAATAATATTTTTAAATTATTAGATTCTCGTGTTCTTGCGGTTGGAGCTGTCCAATCATTATTTGAGGCCTCCATGTATACATTTGTATTCTTCTGGGGACCATTCTTAGAAATTCATCATAAATCAGAAGAGGGATTGCCTTTTGGTATGATTTTCGCTAGGTATTATAATTATTTAATTAACTTATTTAAAAACTTTTTGATTGATACTATTATATTTATTATTTTATTATTATCACCAGTTTTATGGTTGCCATTATGATTGGATCATTAATTTATAGAAACTTGAGTGGTCCTCGTAACGTACCTTTATCTGATATTGCACAAATAACATTTTTAGTAGCAGGAGTTTCATTATTAATACCATTACTATATCCAGTAAGGCTCTTTTGAAATAGCACTATTTTTTCTCTTTATTTTTTTTTCGATATTTACTTCTAATTGCTTTTATAGAATGAGACCACATTGTTTTGCTTTTTTACTTTATTTGAGATGACATGTGGACTTTATTTCCCTACTATTGGAACACTTAGAGCTAAAGTTGTGCCTGAAAATTTGAGAGCTACTATTAGCAATTTATTCAGAGTACCATTGAATATGTGCGTTGTATCACTTTTGGCAAGTTTCAATAATTATTATTGCAATACAACTTTTATAAATAATTTTCCAATATTAACTTGATTTTTTTATAGGTTACTGATTTAACAATTTCCACACGATGTTTATTGTGCAGTGTTTTACTTATCATTGCTTTTGTTTGGTCTTTCGCACTTCCAGAGGTAAATAATTTATAATATTTCCTTGGAAATTAACTCTTACATTATTTAATTTAATATTATAATTAATATTAGCATTCTAATATCATTTCTCCTTTATATTATTTATCTATTCCTTAATATTATTGATATTTTAGGAACCTAATACTGCCAAAATAGCTGCGAAGATTAGAAAAAAACTTGAAAAAGAAGAACAGCATAAAGCATAAATTATAATTCATTATAAAATACTATTATATATTCATAAATAGATATTTTTTAATATAGATATTGATATTAGATTATAAAATTATTTATTTATTAATTATATCTAATATTAATATTTATTTATTTAGCAAAATTAATAGATTAAAATATATTTAATAGAATATAAATTAAATTAAAGATTTTTTCAGTTAAATAAATTTATATAAATCAAATATATGATTTTTATTTTTAAAAAAATATAATATAAGATTTTATTAAAAATTAGATAAAATAAAAGTAAATACAAAAATAGATGATTTGTTAAACTTTCTAGATTTATCTATTTTATATAAAATTATAAAGAATAAACATTAAATATATTAAATTAATATTAATTATTATTTTATATAATTTTATATTATTTATGAATTATAAGTAATAATTTGACTTGTTTATTAAACTTAATTAAAGTTTATTTTAAGTATATATTATTTATACAGTAGCAGTCATAAGTATTTGACCTCTCATAATTCTTAAAGTTAATTAATAATAGCTATTAAAATTTTTTTTTAAATTTAAGTTCAATACTAACCTTGATAATCTGTAAAATTATAGATCTGTATCATGTATAATTTAAAAGTTAGATAATCAATAGATTTTATATTTCAAAAAAAATAACCTTTTTTATATAAATAATTTCATATTTTATTATTTAACACCTAAACTCCTTAATATATAGATTTTTTTTTTAATATATTAATTTTTTAGGAATTATTACACATTTTTTATAGAATTTTAAACAGATTACACAGATATTTAGAGAACTTCAATAATACTATATTCTTCCTTTTAATTTTTGAATAATGTTTGTATTTATTAATTTTTTGCAAAATTTACTTTGAATTCTTTTTTCTAAAAAATTCACAGATACAAGCCAAAAGATCACTTTTATAGAGATTATATGTAAAATTAACATTAGAGTTTTGCTGAAAGAAAATTGATTTATCAAATCACAAATCTAAAAAATCACTATAATATAAACTTTTTAGCAAATATTATAACTTTTGTTTATTACTAAAATCTTTATTTAAATAATATTTTTAAATATAATAAATGTTATAATTTTATTACAATAGATATAAAGTAATTATATTTTTGAAATTCCATTTCAGTTATTATTGAAATTTATATAAAAAAATCTATTTTGTTTAATTTATTAAAAAATATCAGCATTTTGAAATTCATCAATCATCTAATTTTGATTTATATATTATATAAGCTTATAATTTTATAAGTGATCAATATTGGTATTGTACTTGAATTTTAAAAAATTTTAATAGATATTATTAATTAACTTTAAGAATTATGAAGGGTTGGATACTTATAACTGCTATTATAAAATATTATAAAAAATTATAAAATTTTAATTCTTTATAAAATTTTACTTTTCTTAATATTTAATTAAATTGATTTTTAATACTTATAACCTTTTAAAACTTCTTTCTTTAAATATTTAAACATTAAATTTATAATATAATACTATTAACTTCATCAACTTTATTAAAGGAATTGTTTTTGCTTTCTTATTTGATAAAATGCATTATTTTATCAATAACAAGATTTTAATATTTAACTTTCTTTTCTCTACTTATCATCATGCTTTTCTTCAAATTAAAACTTTCTAGATAAACTATTACATTATCATCAAATATTTTGAACTCCTTAACAATATTTCTTTAGCTAATCAAAAAACACATTTCGTCAACATCAGATTTTCATATTTAACCCTTATTTTTTGTAATTTCTCTTATTTTTTTCTTCTTTTAATATAATATAAACTGATTAAATATTTTAGATTAATAGCAATCATCAGATAGTTGAACTTATTTTAAATTGGTTTAGGATAAGTTAGTCTAAAATGATATAAAATTAATTTTGATTTAATTTTGTTTTTTTAATTAAATAGAAATTTTTGTATTCTTTTCTCAATAATTTATAATTTTATAAATTTTACTTTACTATTAATAAAGATTATGTAAAGCTATTACACATTAAAATAAAAAAATTATAAAATTATAATATCTAATAATTATAAAAAGATAAAATAAAATTTATTAAATTTTTTATATTAAAATATGTTAATAGAAATACTCTTAAATATCAAAATTAGTCAAAGAAAAGTTAAAATGTAAATTAAATTTTATTAGTTAACCAATCAATTTTTAAATAATAAACTGATTTTTATTTTTTTATAATAGTATTTTAACTACAAAAATACTAAAAATTATTTTAATAGAAAAAATTAACTGATAATAAAAAACTAAAAATAAGTTAAATTTTATTAATCTATTATATAGGAAGCAGTTAAAAATAAAGAAAAAAATCTAAAATTTTAAGTAATTTAGTTATTAAGCTAGTTTTATTTATATAATTATAATTAGTAGAATGGATCAATAAAAAAATTTTTAACTAAAAAATGGATTTTTTACTTTTTTATTGACTACCTTTTATATTAACTTTTAATAATAAACTAATTTTTATTTTTTATAATAAAAAACAAAATTACAAAAATGTTTTAACTATCAAAATTAGCTAAAAAAGACTAAAATATAAGTTAAATTTATTAATCAACTAGTTAATTTTTAAATAATAAATTGATTTATTATTTTTTTTTTATAATGAAAAAAAGAAATTTAAGTGATTTAAGATAAAAAAGAATTAATTTTTTTATTATTTTATTATTTTATTATTTTATTATTATTTTTTATATTTTAAATAATTTTAGAATTGATTTTCTATTTTATTATTTTTATTTATCATTATATTTTATGGATAATTTTAATGAATTTTAAGAGAAAAATATATTATATTTTTATTATATTATTTTTTTATATAGATTTTTCATTTTTTTGCTTATATTTTTTAATAAAAAATTAATTAATAGGTTTAAGTAATATTTTATTATTTTTTTTTTGCAAATTTTATATTAAGTTTTTATTATTAATAAAAATTTTAATATTTAATAAATTTAATTAAATAATAATATATTAATTTATATACTTATTTAAATAAATTAATATTAAATTAAGGCTAATTTTAAATTGATTTATATTATTTAAATTTTGAATTAATGTTGAATTGTTTATTTAATTGAAGTTGATTAGTGATATTTTAGGTTAATTTATAATTAAATTTTAAGTTCTAAATTAATGTTAAATTGAGAATAATTTTAGGTTGATTTATAGCTAAATTTAATACTAGATAATGCTGAATTAATAATTAACATACATTAACTGAAACTATATAATTTTATGCTATTTAATAAAAATCAAAATCTGTTAAAATCAGATAGACACTAAGATCTAATCAATAATTTATATAATTCTTTGAAAATATTTTGAGTTGTTTATAGAAAAACTATTAATATTAAAATATAATCTAAAAGATTATTTATACAAATTCAAGTGATTATCAAAGTAATACTCAACACTCTTTCCGCTGATCCCCAATTTCAATATGACCGAAAAAAAAAATGGAAACAACAATAATAACAACAAGTCTAACAAGACTCGCCCTTCTTCCCCAAACAACGACCAACAGCAATGATCTGTTAAGAAACAGTTTATTGAACTTTCTCAAACAACTGAAGCTTCGTCTTCAAAAGATATTACAGAAAATGTCGCGTCTTCTGACATAGAACTTGACACAACCACTCGTTTACGTAGTGATAAAAGAAAAACACCCAAAACTTCCTCATCCTCTTCAAAAGCCCTGATAAATATCGACCAAGCTTTTGACGCTACTGAAAATGGCCTTGATAACGACAAAAATAAAGCAAATGGTATTCACCTTGAATGAGAAATGGAAGCCTCAATCTACTTTGCCTACTGCGTCGCTAAACGCTTCTTCTCAGCCAAAACTAATCGAGAAAAATAAAATGAGGTGTGTGACATATTCGTATCACATTATGCCTCTTTCATTGGTGCTTCAGTACGCATTTACCCTGATGACCCTAACAAAAAAATTGTCTGAATTGGTTTTACCTCGTGCGATGAAGCCAATCATGCAGTCACCCTCAAAATTCCTTGTTTGGACAATAACACGTTTTCACCCCTGATCACCAAACTAGCCGCAAAATACATTCCAGATTTGTTGATCAGAGTAACTGAAATCCCGATCTCTACTACAGAATCAAACTTAAGATCTACTTTTTCCTTTTTCGGGAAGATCACCAAATGTACGATGTCTACCAAAGACTTATGGCAACAAGTTACTATTACCTTTAAAGAAAATACAGACATGACCACCCTGAATAAACTTAACAGCTACTTCGTCTTAAAAGACCTTATCCGAGTTCATCCTTGTACAATATCGAATAAAGATGTCAGGAAAAAATCCCAATTTTCCCTCAAACTCACGAACCTACCTCTTGACACCAACGGCCATCACCTCATCTCGATTGGTAATGCAATTGAGGCTATAGCTTGGGTCATTCCTAAATCACGTGCTAACTACCGCAACCTTCAATATGCTATCTTCTACTTCAAAGACAAAGAGACAATGGATGCCACCAAAAATGGAGAGACTTTATATCTTGATAGAAAAAGACTGATCTGGGCTGACCCGAATTCAAAGCTTTGCTTCATTTGCCAAACACCTGGTCACCAATCGCAAAATTGTCGGAAAAAAAGATCATCCCCTGGGGATCGGCAAACACAACAACTTTACCAAAGATTCT